AGTTACTTAGCACACCCAACATAAACATAAACTCTATACCCATTTAAAAGTAACTCCTTCTCTTCCCTTCAGAACCTGGTAACCTCTAATCTACTTTTGCTCCATGATCTGGTCTGTTAGGTATTTATGTAAGTAAAATCATGCAAAATCTGTCTTCCTGGGTCCAGCTTATTTCATGAAGCATAATATCTTCAAGGTTCATTCATGTTGTAGCATGTATCAGAACTTCTTTTTTTAAGATTTATTTATTTATTTATACAAGCACTGGGTACAGTCAGAAGGGTGGGAGGGCGAGAGAATTCACCAGAGCCAGAGCGGGGAACAGAACAGGCAGACTGACGAAATACACTGATGAGGGGAGCAGCGGGCGGCAGGAGAGGTCTGCACGCCATGTGGGACCCTTGCCGGCAGCCAGGGATGGAACCGGTGCTGCAGAGGTTGCGGGCAGTTTCGCAGCCCAGCGCTCAACCACTGCGCCACCAGGGGAGGCCCTCAGAACTTCTTTTTAAGGCTGAATATTAATCTGTGGTATATGTACTACATTAGGTTTATACATTCATTCATAATGAATGACATTTTGGCTCCCCTCTTCAATGGCTATGAACCAAGGTCCACATACATTTGTTTAAATCCCTGCATTCAGTTATTTTGGTTATGTAGCTAGGAATGGTATTGCTGTGTCATACTGCAGTTCTTGGGTTAAATTTTGGAGAACTGACACTATATTCAGTAGTTGGTGACACCATTTTACATTTCCACCAACAAGGTATGCTGCAAACTTTGCACATCTTCATTAACATTTATTTTGTATATGTATGTTTTTTTTTCCCCCAATAGCAACCCTCCCAATGGGCAGGAAGCATCACCTCATTGTGATTCTCATTTACATTTCCTTAACAAGTATTAGCATTGAGTATCTTTCCATTTGCATATTGATTTCAATAAGTATCTTAAAAATATGCCTCTGCATATTTTTAAATTGGGTTGTTTGCTTTTTGGTTGCTGACTTATGAGAGTTCTTTAGGTGTTCTGATAATATTGTCTTGTCAAAGATATAATTTTTCTTAAATATTTTCTCCCATCCGGTAGTTTGTGTTTTCTTGATAGTGTTTTTGATGCACAAAACTTTGTCATTTTGATGAGTTTCCATTAACTATATATTTCTTTTGCTCTCTGTTCTTTTGGTGTCATATCTATGAAATAGTTACCAAATTTGATATCACAAAGATTTTCTTCAATGCTTTCTTGCTTCTTTGTTTTATATTTTGAAGTTGGGGATGTGTTTGTTAGTCTTTCAGTTTTCCTTTTTTGCAAGACTGTTCTGGATATTTTTGAAACTCCTTATCATTTAAGGGCTGCCATTTCCATTTCTCTTAGAAAGACTGTGATAGGGATTGCATTGGCTCTGTAGTTCAACTTCTGGTAGCATTAACATTTTAACAATGTTAAGTATTCCTAACCATGAACATAGGATAGCTTCATGAACATAGGATAGTTTCCTTTTATTTATTTTAAAATTTCTTTTAGCATGCTTTGTAGTTTTCAGTGTACATGTCTTTCACCTTCTTTGGTACATTCATTCCTCAGATTTCACTTAGAAACTATTTTTTTCCCCTAGAATTTCCATGCTCTAAATTGGATATGTTCTTTTTCTTTTAATGTTTTATTTCATATAATTCTTACATCATTTTTCATTTTTGCACAATGTATGCATTTTCATTTTGGTTATATTCCCCATACAATTGCACCTCCCCCTTATTTTGGCCCTAATCCTTCCTCTCTCTGCGCCACACCCCATAGTGTGTCTCTGGTTTATAGTTGCTTGTTGATTTTGATTTTTTCTTTATTATAGTTAGTCTTTTTCCTGGTCCCTTATTTAGGTTTTCTAAATTCCTGCTGAGTGAGACCATCCAGTATTTTTCTTTTTCTTTCTGGCTTATTTCGCTGAGCATGATCCCTTCCAGCTCTATCCATGTGGCTGCAAATTGCACGAGTCTACCTTTTTTGATTGCTGAGTAATATTCTGGTGTGTGTGTGTATATATATATATATATATATATATATATATATATACCACATATTCTTGATCCAGTCATCTATTTTTGGGCATTTGGTTAGAAACTATTATAAATGGAATCCCCCCCTTTTTTTGATTGTTCATTACTGTCTATAGCTATATACCTATATATAGGTGTGCTGATCTTAATCTAAACTTTGCTGTATTTGTTTATTGGATTTATATCTTTTTTGGATTTTGATTCTTTATATATAGGATCATGTCATTGCATATATATTTTACCTCTTCTGTGCCTTTCTTTTCCTTGGTTAACAGCTCTTACCAGAACTTGCAGTACAATACTGAACAGGTATGGTTAAAGTATCCATTTTTTTTTCTAATTTTGGGGGGATAGATTTCAGCTCTTCACCAGTGAGTATGTGTTAGCTGTGTTTTTTGGCCTTCTCCCGCCCCTTCCATAAAAACCCTATATCATTTTGAGGAATTTCCCCTCTATTCCTAGTTTCTTAAGAGGGTTTTGTTATCAAAGTGCTGAATTGTGCCAAATGCCTTTCCTGCATCAAATGAGATTATCACATGCCCCCCGCCCCCAACTTTGTACTATTAAGGTGCTGTGTTATGTTGGTTGAATTTAAGTTGAACCATCCTTGCAATTCTGGGATAAATCCCACTTGGTCATGGTGAAAAATCCTTTAAACATATTGAAGTAAAACTGCAAATACTTTGTGGAGTACTTTTGAATTTATATTCATCAGGGTTATTGGTTTATAAAATTCTTTCCATGTGGTATCTTTACCTGGAAGGTATCAGAAGCTCTAGCATCACAGTAATCATACTTACCTAGCAGAGTGAACTAGGAAGTGTTCCTTCCCTTTTTGCAGAGTCAGAGAAGAACTGATCTTGGTTATGTTTTCAGTGGTTGGTAGAACTCGCCATCTGTTTTCTTTGTTTATACTATTAGGGGAAAGTCTAGTGTTTAAGGGAAGAAAGCCCACTACAAAGTATTTTTCTAACAGGATCCAGGCCACTAAACTGTTTTCCCAGGGACCCCTACCAATATATACCTAGTTCTATCTTAAGCTTCATTTACCATATGTTTAAATTACTTCCAGTTATTTCGAAACAAATTATACTGTAAGGGTAAAGATATTACACAAGGGACTTCTATCAGAGCAAAGATCCACAAGATAGCACCAGGAATTACTTTTAGGACTGAGTGTCATCATTGGCATTGCAAAGTGTTGCTTTGAGGAAGATAATTCAAAAGTCAATTGTAGTTTGTAATTAGACTCATTTCTTATGTATACACTACATGGATGACAGGCTGTAGTTCACAAAGTTTGGGCCTAAGTGTAGAGTCATAAGTAAACAACATGGTTTATATCTACTTGAAAATCTTTAGGTTGGTTTAAAAACCAAGTGTTTTATTCTTCTTAATGGAAAATGAGGGTAAAGACAGAAGTTAAAAGCTTGGACCTTGGAATCAGACAATCTGAAATAACATCTATAGTTATTATGAGTAATTAGGTGAATTAAAAGTAGATTAATCCAAGAAATAAAAATTTCGATTCTTCAGGATTTTCTCAATTCCACATTTTCTTTTACCTTGATCCAAAGATTATTTTCCCACCCAACCCAACCCCTTCTTTTTGGCACGTGTCTCTGTACTTATTAGTGTTTTCAGATGTCCCAAAACTAGGAAGATCGTTAAGTGACCAAATGAAATCTTCTGCTTTAACTTCTAATTCTGGGATATTTTGTCTATAGAACTCTAAATAGCAGAAATGGTAGGCAATAACTGGCAGATAGCTAATAAAGAATAAGTATCTGCATTTCCTTTTACCCTCAAGCAGGGTTGGGGGAAGAGCATGACTCCTAGGCCTCCCTATTAATCTGTTTGCTCTTTTCATCTTCGGCCATGGGAAGTGTCTTCTTGATCTCAGATTGGCCACCCAAATCCATGCTCCACACGATTCATTAATTTGATCTCCTCAAAATACAGCTGAAATCCATTTTCTTTGAATTTTTCTTCTTTTGCTGATTTGTTACAATTAGACTCTAAGTCCCTTGAGGCAGGAATCTCTGTATTCCATCTACAATTCTTTTGGTTGGTAATGTGCTAATATCAGAGTTTTAAATACTTTTTTTTATAAAGTTGATTTTTGTGTTTAAGTGGTTAAAGTACTCGAGCAAGGGGATGAAATGATACACACCAAGACACAGTACTAAAGATACTTGACCACATTTTGTCTTTCAATGACCCTGAAATGGAATCTTGTCTCTATTTTATGAGGGTCAGAAAGAGAAGTGACTTGACTTCAGTTTAAACTAAACTTTGCTGATGTCAAAATTCTCACACTTTTTCTATTACTATATTCCTCAGATATCTATTGGAAATAACTGAATTCAAAATCCAGTTGGTACTGATCCTTAAACCCTTCATAGTTCTTGAACTCAAATTTTATGGTCTTAACACACTATAAATCAAGCTCAGTGGAAAGGTAAATGCAAATATAAGTATGTTTTATTCATAAATGAACTTAAAATTTACTAAAAAATATTTTGAGATGTAATTAGAACCCCAGGTTAAATATAAAATTGGCAAGGATCCTCTAAATAGGGATGTATCACAGAGGTTCTCAAGTTTTCTTGATTCATGACACCCATGAACCTAAAGAAACAGTTAACCAGGCCTCCCTGGTGGCGCAAGTGGTTAAGATGCAACCCATGAAGCTGTCCACAGTCTGCAGTACGAGTTCAATTCCCCGGCCGGCCAGGGAGCTACCCACATGGCACAGCAGACCTCTCCTGATTCACCCACTGTTCCCATCAGCAGTGTACTTCAGTCAGTCTGCCTGTTCTGTTCCCCACTGTTTCTGATGAATCTGCTCACACCCCCACACCTCTGGCCTGTACCCCAGCTCTTGTATACATAAATAAATAAAAAAAAACTTAAAAAAAAAACAAAACAATTAACCATTCTTTTTACCAAATAGGCAGGTCCTAGTAACTTTTAGTTTGAAAAATAATACATATAAATGGAAAAACACTTTCATTGCATCCTAAAATTACCATAATAACTTATTAATGGAAGCTATTCAGCTGTTGGGAATGCATAGCTTATCACACCTTGGAATTGATCACTTTTATCTCATGCTTCACATTGGTTTTCAACTGATACTTGTTCTCATCACAGCAATAGCCAAAAATCCAGGTTTATAAAGACATGCAGTCATCAAAAACAAAATGTTGTACAGTCTATGTTGAAACTACTATTTTGAGTATAGTCAGCATGATATCTGACAGATGTTGCTGTTTCTCCCCAAATTTAAAATACCCAATGTGCACCTGTGAGTTCAGTGCAGCTGGTGCCTCAGGGACCAGGAAAGTGTTAAGAATATCTTTTTTTTTCTCTTTTGCATTCCTTTTTTCTTCCTTTCTTCTCTACCTTTCCCTCCCTCTCTCTTTCAGTTCCTTTGTTTTATAAGTGATAAAAAATCTTCAAGCTTCATTTGCAACTCCAATTCTCTCTGTAACACATTACAATATACACTGAAGTTTTCAATCTTGAGTGAAATCAATAGGAAAGTGTGTTTTGACTGAACAACAGTGGAAATCTGATGTTTAGACACGTTCACCTAGCACCAAAGAAAAGTCCTTATCCCCAAGGTTTTTATACTCTTCTGCTAACAATATCATACTTGATGTTGCAGAAAAGATACAAAGAAAGAGGGAGGGAAAAGAAGTGGACAGGAGGAAGAAGGAACTTGATTAACAAATCTTAATTTATAATGTGCATCAAGTAACACGCACATTCTGGGAGCAGGAAAACATGGAGTGAAGGGCTGGGTTTCCCAACATGATTGATGGCAGGGGTCAAGGTTAGTTTTTTTTATTTTTAAAGATTTATTTATGCATTCAGGAACTAGGGTACAGGCCAGAAGTGTGGGGGGTAAGAGGATTCACCAGAGACAGAGTGGGGAGCAGAACAGGCAGATCTACTGAAATACACTGCTGAGGGGAGCAGCAGGCGAGATAGGAGAGGTCTGCAGCACCATGTGGGTAGCTTCCTAGCCAGGGATCAAAGTCGTGCTGCAGTGGCTGCAGATAACTTCATAGGTTGCGTCTTAACCCCTTGCGCCACCAGGGAGGCCTAGGTCAAGGTTAGTTTTAAGATGAGGGACTAAGAAACAGAAAGAGTATGCATTGGAGCATAGATTTTGGAGTGAAGTTGTATTCAAGTTCTGCCTCTACAACTTAATAGCTCCACTCCTTGCAAATTACTTAATCTTGTGAATGATTTTTTTCCTCAGTAAAAATGAGGAAATATATATAATACTTGTCTCAAAGTTGCCTTTTCAGAATTGACTAACACCTGCAAACTGAGCATCATACTGCCACTTACGGTAATGGTTATCATTATTATCATTATGAAAACAAGGCTGAGCCAGGGCCAGGAGATAGCAGAGACAAGGTTTGCAGAAGAATATCAAAGGTAAAGAGAAGAAATATTGGGGGAAATGCTGGAGTTCATATCAACAAATGGTGTCTATCTAGAACGCTCGTACTAAATGGGTAAAAACACTTCTGAAAAGCATTTTGTTTACTAAAGTTGAAAAAATGCAAATGCCCCAACTCTGCATTCCACTTCTAAATGTATGTTCATCACACAAATGCTTACATAATACCAAAACAGATGTTTAGAGCAGTATTATCCATAATAGCCAAAGAGTTGGAAACAACTCAAATGTAGAATGGGTAAATACGATATGATATATTCATACAATGGAATTCTGTTCATTGTGAAAACAAAAGAACTACAGATAAATACTGTAATCTGGAATCATCTCACAAGTAATGATGAGCAAAAGAAGGCAGACATAAAACAGTATGTGCTTTATGATTCCATTTATAAAAAGTTCATGAACAGACAAACTAATCTGTCAGAAAGAAGGATAATGATTCCCTTTGGGGGGCCAGGGTTAATGGTTGGGAAGGTATATGGGGAAATTGATGGTTCTGGTAACAATATATGATGTTTTGATTCACTATTTGAAAATGCATCATCTAACTTTCTCATGATTTATGTACATTTCATATGTGTGTTTTACCCAAAGACTTGAAAAAAAAAAAAACAAAAAACTGAAGCACTGTTATCTTGCTATAGATTGAATGTCCCCCTGCCACGTTCATATGATAAAACCCAATCCCTAAAGTAATGGTATTAGGTGGTGGGAAGGGTGATAAGGCCATGAGGATGGTGCCTTCTTGAATGAGATTAGCGTCCTTCCAAAAGAGATGTGGGGCTCTCCCTTCTGCTCCATGAGGGTAGCATGAGAAGATGTTGCCCATAATCCAGGAAGAAGGCCCTCACAAAATGCCAAATCTGACAATGCCTTCACCTTGGACTATCTAGAACTCTGAGTAAGTTTATAAGTCACCATTCTATGCTATGCTGTTATACTAGACTGAAGAAGCTAAGACAGATCTCTTCACAGGTCTCTTTAGTGGAGAGGGATTAAAAAAAAAAAAGACTTTGGTATTTAGGGAAAACATAAGAAAATATGAGTCACAAGAACAGTTGTGTTTACAACCTGCCGGTTAATTGTCCAATCTTGGCTGACTCTGTGACTCAGGATAAGTTATCTATAACAATTTCCAGAACTCAGTGGCATAATACAACAGAAGCTGCTTTCTTGCTCACTGACACATGTCCAACACATGCTGGACATCACGTTCACTTGGGGACCCAGATGGAGGGAGGCTCCATCCTGTCACATGGGTCCACCATCATGTGGAGGAACACAAGGCAGACTGAACAAGGTCTCTCAATACATATGCCTCAAAGAAAGAGACAACAATTTCACTCCCATTTTACTGGTCACAGCAGGTCACATAACCAGGGCCTAATGCTGCAGGGGTAAGTAATGGGCAATGCACAGGGGCAGGAAGGAGATGAGCTAGAAAGGTGACACTACTGATGAATGTACTTGATCCTACAGCTCCCGGGCCAAGTCCTGTCCACATGAGAGCTGTGTTGTGGGCACCCACCCCATCTTTCTCTTCACCCCCTAGTAGGAAGCCCTGGGAAAAAACAATCTGGATTTCCTGGCCATTGACACCCTCCTTGACAACAGGTCACTAATATGGTGACTGATACCATGTGTGATCCATTCCCTGATCTGGACTGGAACAGAAGGGAACTGTAACCTAACTGTGGGTAAGTAACAGTCGATGTGGAGCAGGGAGAATTCTGTATGGTTGAAATCATATGGAGAATACCCATCACAGCTGGTGAGGGGCTTTGGGGTTGTCAGAGGGTAGGACTTTGGATCATACTTTTACCTCTTAAATCACCAGATTTAAGTTTATAAGAACCACACTGGAGGAGCTTATTCTGTTTATTAAACAAAGAAACAACTGTGCTTATATCTCAAGAAAGGTAGTCTAAGGAGGCCCCCATGCCTGTCAACAGTTCTCCCTCTTGCTACAGCAAAGTGAGGAGGGCTCCCAAGTGCAATTTTAAGTGCTGAACTCCTTGAAGGGATTCTGGTAGATCCTTTGCATTTTACATGTAAACTCCTCTCCAAAGTGCATGCTAGAGAAATGTGCTAACAGCAAAGTTTTGTGTTTTTAATTCACCAACTGAAGACAAAATTAAATTTTGAGTTCCTTAAAAGACACATAAAAAGCTGAAATTTTTTTGAGATGAAAGGCAGCACTGAACGGGATTATGGGCTGAAAGTTGAAACAAGGCTCTTGGCAATCACAGGGCACCTGATTGTGCCTCAACAATCTACAGTTTACTTTAAATTCTCATAGTCATCAGCCTGGCTTATCACACAAATTCTTTTTATTTTTAAAGAAGTCACTTCATTTAGCGAAGATCAATGATGTCAGAAAGAAATAAAAACACCTGATAAAATCCATAAAAAAAATGCCAGGAAAGGGGAACAGCTTATTTTAGACAAATCCAGGTTTTGCCAATTTGCAGGTACTAAAGAAGTGGGTGATTCCTTATGAGTCTCAAAATGTGGCCAACGGTCCTGTAATTGGCAAGCTCTCCCTGTGCATTCCAAAAGCATGTAAGTTCCAAATATAATTTTCAACATAAACTTTTCAGGAACATAGCTGCTGTGAAAAATAAGATATTTGTAGCACTGGGACTCCAAACAAAAAATAAAGAGAAGATACATTTAAAAATGTTTATGAAAGATTGAAGATTCTTCCCACATAAGGAGGCGGCCAGAGACACTCTGCAATTAGGTTCTGACTTGAAGATTAGAGATTTCTCACTTTTCTTGTTAAAAATAAAGTAAGCGGAGCTTAACTTAAAAGATATGCCATGGCCACTATTATTAGGTTTTAGGTCAAACAAGCAGTGGGCCTAAGTCCTTGAGAGATGGGGTTAGCCTCACTGAAAAGTGTGGCCAAAGAGGAGGCTGGTACAAATTATTCCCCTTTGAGAACTGATGTGATCACTTTCCTGTTCATTGAAGATTTCAATTAGAAGTTTATCCTTCTTCACAAATGTTTCACTTAGCTGTGTTTTAATTATACACGTTGAGAAATAAAGCAAACAGAAGGGCACCCAGAGCCAGGCCCACGGACATCCTCAGCGCGCAGTGACGATGCAATCTTTGCAAGCGCAGAGCCATTCCAGAACTCATTGCGTGGTGTTGAGTTGCAGCAGCTGCAGGACCTGGTGAACTCAGATGATTCCCAAGCTTATTTCTGAACTCCTATGGAGAAAGAAGCACAGAGGGGGGAAAACGTTTTAAGATGCACAAGGAGTCCCACTGAAGTCATTTTTTCTTATTATTGCGATATCATTGACATATAATGTTGCATTAGTTTCAGGTGTACAACATAATTGCACAACATAACAATGAATGCCACAATAAATCTAGTTGACATCCATTCCCACACACAGTTATAAATTGCATTTCTTCTGATGACAGTCTTTTAAGATCTACTCTCTTAGCAACATTGGAATATGCAATACAACGTATATTCGTAGTTAACATATTGCTAACTGGAGTCACAATGCTCTGCGGGACAGCCACGGGATTAATTTTATAACTGGCAGTTTGTACCCTTTGGTAATCTTCACCCATTCTTGCCAATTCTCAGCCCCGCGCCTCCAGAACCACCAGTCTCTTCTCTGTATCTATGAGTTCAACTTCGTTTTCTTAGATTCCACGTGTAAGTGAGATCATAAGCATTTGTCTTTCTCTAACTTCTTTCTATTAGCATAATGTCCTCAAGGCCCATCCATGTTGTCACAAAGGTAAGATTTTATCCTTTATTCATGACTGAATATATCATTTAGTAGTCATACTACATTTTCTTTATCTCTTCATCCATTTGTGGACACTTAGGTGGTTTCCTTGTCTTGGCTACCATGAACTCCACCATAATAAATAAGGGGTGGATATATATTTTGGAGTTAGGGTTTTCATATCTTTTGGAGTTAGGGTTTTCATATCTTTTGGATAAACACCCACCCAACTTTGTTTGGAATAGCTAAATCATATGGTAGATCTATTTTTAATTTTTTGAGACATCTCCACGTTGTTTTCTATGGTGGCTGCACCAATTTACATTCCTCCCAACTGTGCATGGGTGTCTCCTTTCTACACATCTTTGCCAACACTTGCTACTTCTTGTCTTTCCAGTAATAGCCATTTTAGCAGGAGTGAAGTGATGTCTCACTGTGGTTTTGACTTGCATTTCCCTGATGATTAGGGATACTGAGCACCCTTTCATAAACTGTTGGCCATCTGTTTGTCTTCTTTAGAAAAATATCTACTCAGATCCTCTGCCCATTTTTTTAAAACTTTTTTTTAATTTTTAAAATTTTTTTCATAGAAGAACTGGGGTGTAGGCCAGAGGTGTGGGGAATGAGAGGATTCACCAGAGACAGAGCGGGAAGCAGAATAAGTGGATCTACTGAAATACAGTGCTGAGGGCAGCAGTGGATGAGACAGGAGAAGTCTGCTGCACCATGTGGGCTAGCTCTCTGGTTGGGGATCAAACTCAGGCCTTAGCAGTGAGAGACTTAACCCCTAGGCCATCGGGAAGACCTCTGCCCATTTTCTTCACTGAATTGTTTGCTTTCTTGCTTTTGAATTGTATGAGTGCTATCCATTTTGGATAAAAACTCCTTACTAGATATCACATAGAAGTTTTGCAAAAATTGTCGCCCAGTTAGCACACCGACTATTATTTTGTTGATGGTTTCCTTTGCCTTGCAGAAGTTTCTTAGTTTGGTGGAAGAAGGAGCAATTAAATTCTTACTCCTTTGACAGAGGGACATTCAATCATCCATATGGGCCAGGTAGTCCCCAGTTGGGTCTAGGTAAGTCAACTTTCCCATCTTTGAAGGATCAGACCGAGTTTTTGGTATTTCAGATTATACACAAACTACATGAGAGAAGATAGTATTTATGGAGAACCAAGGCAGAATTTCTTGAAGGGTGGAATTTATGTAGACTGGAGTCACATCACAAACACGTCTAACTTTAAGGAATGGCAACAAGAGAATGATGATGAAAAAGACAACTTGGAAGCCATTTTATTCAGCAAACATGTCCCTTCAATACCCTTTAGACTATATCCTTAAAAATTCCCAGCTTGGATACTGCTGCAGGAGGGTGTCTTCCTCCCTGGTTGGGGGGCTAAGGAGTCTGGATGACTAGAGGGATCCGCCCTTCACACAGCCTCTTCCTTCACCTCTCTCATTTTCCAAGTGTGCCAGATAAGGAAACAGCTGGGAAGCTCTGCAGGAGGGAGGGTGAAGGTTGAGGAGACAACACCACACTACTTTTTAGGTGGTGGGTGCTGTCTGTTCCCTGATGGTTCTAGTGGGTGTTGGGGGAGGAGAGGGGTAACTGACCAGCCACTCTCGTGTTTCAAAGTGTAATTTCGATTCCATTATATAAGAGTTCCATCTTATGCAAGGGTCAAGAATCGGTATCTCCCCTGTTAAAATATGAATAACATTTTGAGAGCTGGAGGTGGGTGGGGAGAGGGAACAGTGATGGAAGCAGGCAACCCAGAGGCAGTACAGAAGGCGTGTCTGTGGGAGAACAAGAAACCCACAGAAACGCAAAATATCTCTGGGCAACCATTTTACTTTGCTCATTCTTTCCTTCCAAGCTCTCTTACAATTTCCTGGTGACACCTCCTGTCCCTGCGTGGGAAGTGGGGAGTGGCAGCTCACCCCTGCTCAGCAGAAGCGCTGAAGCGTGCGTTACGGAAAGCAATGCTGGCAGGAACGACGTGTGGATTGAGGGACAAGAATGGGGGTGGAGAATCCAGTGCAAGTTGCGGTGCTACATGAGGTGGGGGATGATGAGGACCTGTGTCACCACAATGGCAGAAGGCACAGAAAGGAGAGAGTGGCAGCCTTCTGGTAGAATCAGCAGGATTTGAGTAGAGAGGAGTTGGCTGTCAGAGCTACAGTGAATAGGAATAAGAAACCGTTACCATCCATTTCCCACCAGCTAATATTTACATGTGACAGGTGTGGAGGAATATTTAACTTTGACTCTAGAAAACTGAAGGCAAAATTCAAAAAGCTATTAAGCACAAGGATGAATCCCTCGGCCCCAAACCATTACTTGCTTCTGTGCTCCTCTGGTGTCGGGGCCAACACCCTCCTGCCGTCCCTGAGCTGTGGCCCTCAACGAGGAGGCACACAACTGGATGGACAGAGTCACCTTCCCTCAAACAGGGGGGACAACAGCCAGAGCTCAGCAGTACACCCCAAATTGCTCCTTGCTGCCTGCTCACCCCCTCACTCTCGAGACTGTTTTCTTGTGAGATGGCTTTCTGCATGAGACTTTGGATCTGGGAATATGCTGAGAAGCTTTCATATGGATTGGTTAAAAATAGCCTCCAGGCTTCAAGGGCAGCACTTGACAGATATGGCAACCTTGGGCAAGAATGCAGTCCTCCGTCAGCTGAAATGACAGGACTAAGTGAGTTCCTCAAAAGCAGCCAGGCTGTCTTATGCATCTCCAGGTGCTTGTGCCCGGCACAGCTACAGGTAGAGAGCAGTAATCAGAAGTGATCAGAAATGAATGCATGAGGATGAGGATGAGAGGTAACCCGTCCCAAACATGCCTTGCTAATGTCTGTCATGGTCTTTGAGTCCTGTGATGGAATCAGGGCACCACTGTATTTCAGTCATGAGTTGTTGCCTTGAGCCATTAAACCTTCATTTATTCCTTAAGTTGGGGCTTACAGGACGAGAACTAAGAGGCTGATTAATGTCTCCTAGGGTTGAGATGGACATTTTGGAGTCCCTGATGGCTTTTAGAAACTGCTGAAGACTCTAGAACAAAGGAGGTGCCATGCACACCTGCTCTCTGCCCCTCTCACGCTGGTGCATGCTCTATCAGCCCCATCCAGAAGTGCATCCAGGTGTCCTGAGCCCTGATGCTTTCACTTTAAGAAAAAAGAAAATATGAACGTAGGTACAGGGCCCGAGAAAGGCCCCCTCAAAGTGAGTGGCCCTGCACCTTAAGCTCTTCTGGCCTCAGGGAAAACTCACTTGTGCACCCCACTCTCTTCCTCCTTCCCTTCTGAATGCTGAGCCTTGGTTCTGCACCTGCAATTCCAGAAGCTGCCACTCAGAGAACACTAGACCCAGGCCAGGGGCAGGCTGACCTGGCAGGACTAGGCCAGTCTGATAGCATCCTGCATTGGCTTGGGTTAAAAATACACTCTGCTCCACAAAGCTGCAGTTAGGTCTGCGCTTCTGGCCCGGGGGAAAAAAAATCCTGACTTTTGGTTAGAAAATTTCCTTCTCTCTCTTCCAACTCATCTGTCATAAAATTTTGCTCAAAATAGAAAAGGTGCCCATTGAACGACCATAGTGGATGGTCTATGGTTGCGTTCAACTTAGTCATTCTTCCTCGGGCATTATCCTCCACCTACATACACCCCTTCAAATAGTTAACCCATCGGAAAGTAAGTGACCCATGAGCTACGAGTCTTTCCTAGTTAACGAGGTGGCCTCCTGGAACCACAGGGAAGAGCAGCAGACGCAGACAGCATAGCCCCGCTGAGCCAACAGTCTCTACCAAATCAAGGTGGGAGATTGAGAGCAGGGGAGGGAAAATGCAGCCTCTCTCTGCTTCGCATGACCACTTTTATTATCTTCTCATTTTACCAAATCAAGATCTTGATTCAAAGAGTCTGATGATGTGTTTTTAAATCGAAGACTGAAACAACAGTTTCCTAGAGGACAGAGTACTCAGTAGCGAGCTAGCTTTGCATATTTCAATTGTCACTACCACTGGGATACTGAAAGAAAAGTAATTTAGGGCCTCCTCAGTGGCGCAGCGGTTGAGCGCTGGGTTGCGAAGCTGCCCGCAGCCTCTGCAATGCCGGTTCGATCCCCGGCTGCTCCCAGACCACCGGAGGAGGGTCCCACATAGCGCACAGACCTCTCCTGCCTCCCGCAGTGCTCCCCTCAGCAGTGTACTTTGGTCCTTCTGCCTGCTCTGCTCCCCGCTCTGGCTCTGGTGAATTCTCTCACCCTCCCGCGCTTCTGACTATACCCAGTGCTTGTATAAATAAATAAAAATAAATCTTTAAAAAAAAAAGTAATTTAGAAATACAGGATATACAAGACCTTCTCATAAAGTGCAAGACAGTTAAACATGTAAATGTATAACTATTGCAGATTTCCACACAGTTAGAAGCAGCATTCATGAAGAGAAAATAATGC